GTGTGTGTGTGTGTGTGTGTGTGTGTGTGTGTGTGTGTGTGTGTGTGCAGAGACTGATGAATCAACCAAGCACCATGTATGGAGAGGATCTAGACCCCCTGCTCAGATGTAGCCCATGGGCAGCCCAGTCTCCACAGGGGTTCCCCAGTAAAAGGAGCAAGGGTAGTCACTGGCATGAACTTCATTGCCTGTTTTTTTTTTTTTTTTTATCACCTTCCCCTGGCAAGCTGGCCTTATTAAGCCACAGAGAAAGAGGATCCAGGTAGTCCTGATGAGACCTGATAGGCTGGGGTCAGATAGTAGGGCAGGGGTAGAAGGACGTCCTCTATCAGTGGACTAGAGGAGGGACATAGGTGGGAAGAGGGAGGGAGGATGGGAAGAGAGAGGGAGGATGGGAAGAGGGAGGGAGGGTAGGAAGAAGGAGGGAGGGTGAGACGGGGAGGAGACAGGGAAAGGGCTACAGCCACGATACAAAGTGAATAAATTGTAATAAAAAATAATGATGATGATGATGATAAAAACAAGGGAACAAAGAAAAACAAATAAAAGTAAAATACGGTGGTGATAAATGCTGACTGGATGGCAGGGCGTGGTGAAAGGGGAACACCTGCTCAGTTTGGTGAGGGTGCAAATGTTGCCTCCCCTATGCTAATCAATGTGAAGGCTTCCCAAAAAGCTGGAAATAGGTCTACCACAGGACTCAGCTCTACACTCTCGGACATATACCCAAAGGACTCTACATCCAAATGGAAATGCTGGATCATCCAGGTTTATTATTTCTCCATGTACAATAGCCAGGAAATGGGAACAGCCTGGGTATCCAACAGCTAATGAATGGATGATGAAAATGAAGATATTCTATTGTATGCATGTATAAACTTTTAAAGAATAAATAAAAATATCATGTTTTTTTAAAAATTAGGATTTTAACAGATTTACTTACTAGGCATTATTAAATATATTTTATAAGATCACATTCCCTAAACTGTTAACAGAAGTGCTGACATACACACACACACACACACACACACACACACACACACACACACACAAAAAAA